TAACATTACACCAGGCTGAAACCCTCCTTATAACCTTAAAGTGAATGGGCGGGGCTACACTGCCATAGGCAGAATAGGCAGAATACACACACATTGTCTAAACCACTTATCCTTCTGAGTTGTGGGGGGTGCTGGAGCCTATCCCAGCAGTTACTGGGTGGAAGGCAGGATACACCCTGGACAGGTCACCAGTCCATCACAGGGCAGACAGATAGACATAGACATCCACACACAAAGGAGGAAACCCACGCAGACACAGGGAGAACATGCAAACTCCACACAAAGGACCCTGGTTGCCTGACCGGGGAACCGAACCCAGGCCCTTCTTGCTGTGAGGCGACAGCGCAAATTCAGCCACGCTCATTCACGATGAAGTGTTTCAGGACTTTTCAGGATTTTTTTATATTTTTTAAGAAGGGGGTTTCTTCTTTTTAATGAAATGTGCAGTTTTTAAGTGTTCTTTCAGCACTAATTATACCCGCAATATGGTCAGAAAAAGGTATCTTGATGTCATTTATCAGAACAATATCATATCGCATTGCCCGCCCCTAGCTTGAATGCACATTTTCCCATGTGATAGAATTCATAATCTAATGTGCAGTAATGTTATTTAGCTGTGTCTTATCCAGCTGGAACTGTAAATACTGAAGGCACAGCCTGAAGCTTTGATGAGACGAAACCTTCTCCAAGACATAATGTGGCATTTCAGATTTTAATTCTAGACAATCGAATCCACTGAAGTGCACTTGAAATAAAAGCTGATTATTTTCAAATCAATCTCTCAGAACATGATAGCCTCCTGTGATTGTGTGCAATCTCTCCACTGATTGAACTCAATAGTGACAGACACCCTTCATGGAAATGCAATCCATTCAATCAGCGATACAGAATACTTGGGTGATACCAGCACCCTTCCTCAAGATGCAATCAACCAGCTGATCTATGCTTTTACGAGGAAGAGCAGCTCCTGCTCATGCAGAACATTCTAACTTTAGATATTCTACATTTGAGTTGTTTTGCTTGAATCATATAATGACTTATTTAAATCTTATATTTCATTTTTATATGGCAGCTGCATAGATTTAGGCCCTGCCCCCACAGCGTAAGTCAGATGTCTCGTGCAGCGGCCTTTTGCTGGGAGTGAGCCTGCATCGATCATGTGAAGCTGAGTCATTCTCTCACACGCCGCTCGCACAGGGAGGGAGACGGATGCACTGATACGGCCCATGGACATTTTTCCCCCCAGAAAGTGGAATCTGTGGGAAGAACACACCAGGAGAGCAGCGATCCCTTCATCTTCTAGTTTCTCCACTCAGATGATCATAGTCAAAGTCAAAACAGCCACTGAGTGCAAGTTAGTCATTCTTCAGCAGATTTTTCTGAAGAGATTAGATATAAAACAATCAACTCACTGAAGGAAGAAGAACGTCAGAGAAAAATAACAGGAGTTCACAAAACTGGAGCTCAAAAATGATTGAAAGAAATAGAGAAAATGAGACTCCTAATGGCCTGCAAGACATGGTGGACCACCAAAGCTGTCCCCATCAGCTGTGTTTCTGTCCATTATTCCACTGTGAGAAGACAACTCAATACTATGGGTCTGAAAGGATGTGTAGCTGCCAAAAAGCCCTGGGAAAAGGAAATCGACAAAAAAGAAGAACATTTACAAATCAAACAAAGAAACTGCTGTTGTTCTCAGAACAATAGACTGACCACCCCAGAGTCCAGACCACAGCATCATGTTTTGGGACTACTTGGATTATGAGAAGCAGAAAATGCAACCAACTTTCAAGGCTGAACTTGGACGTTTGAAGATATCCCTGCTGATTTCTTAACTTTGACTTTCTGAAGTCATAATAAAGGCACACTAAATACTGAAAAATTTGATATTATACTTGGTTGTTGGGGTTTCATTGTAATTTAAATACAACCCCATTTCCAAAAAAGTTGGGACGCTGTGCAGAATGTAAATAGAAATAGGATGCAATAACATGCAAATCATGTAAACCATACTTTTAAAGGAAAATACTACAAAGACAACATATCAGATGTTGAAACTGATAAATGTTATTGGTTTTTTTCTTCTTTTATTAACACCCAAGTGTTTGAGCACTGAGGAGACACTGCTGTAGTTTTGAAAGTGAAATATTTTCTCATTCTTGTTTGATATAGAATTTCAGCTGCTCATCAGTTCAGGGTCTCCTTTGCCATTTTTCATTTCATAATGCACCAAATGTTATCAGTGGTGACAGGTATTGCCTGCAGACAGGTCAGTTTAGCGCCTGGACTCTTTTAATACAGAGCCATGCTGTTATAATACACACAAAATGTGGTTTGACATTGTCTTGCTGAAATAATCAAGGTCTTCCCTGAAAAAGACGTCGTCTGGATGGCAGCATATGTTGCCAACACATGTATATATCATTCAGCATTAATGGTGCCTTCACAGATGTGCAAGTTACCCATACCATGCACACTAATGCCCCCTATACCATCATGAATACTGGCTTTTGAACTGTGCACTGATAACAAGCTGAGTGGTCTTTAACCCAGAGGACACAGTGTCCATGACTTCCAAAACTAATTTCAAATGTTGATTCGTCAGACCAAGGGACAATTTTCCACTTCACCTAAGTCCATTTTAAATGAGCTCGGGCCCAGAGAAGGTGGCAGCATTTCTGGATCCAGTTTATGCAAAGTTTCTTCTTTGCATTTTAGAGTTTTAACTTGCATTTGTGGATGCAGCGACAAACTGTTTTCACAGACAGTGTTTTTCAGAAGTGTTTCTGAGCCCATACAGTGATGTCCACTACAGAATCATGTCTGTTTTTAATGTAGTGCTGTCTGGAGGCCCAAAGATCACAACCAGCAAATACTGGTTTTTGGCCTTGTCCCTTGCATACAGAGATTCCTCCAGATTCTCGGAATCTTTTAATGATATTATGTACCGTAGATGATGAAAAGCAAAAGTTCTTTGCTATTTTATGTTGAGAAACTTGTTGCTCTATTTGATTGTGCAGTCTTTCACAGAGTGGTGAACCCCTCCTCATCTTTACTTCTGAAAGACTCAGCCTCTCTGGGATGCTCTTTTTACCCAGTCATGTTACAGACCTGTTGCCAATTAACCACCAGGTGTCTTTTTAGTATTACACAACTTTACCAGCCTTTTGTTGCCCCCGTCGCTACTTTTTTGGAACATGTTGTTGGCATCAAATTCAAAATAGGCAAATATTTTTCAAAATATAACAATTTCTCAGTTTCAACATCTGATATGTTGTCTTTGTACTATTTTCATTGAAATATAGGGTTTAAATGATTTGCACATCATTGGATTTTGTTTTTAGATACATTTTGCACAGCGTCCCAACTGTTTTGGAAATGGGGTTGTATATTAGGCTTTTTTCCTGAAGATAAATAATGTGTACCTTGCACTTATAGGACGTCTTGGCTGGAAATGAAATAAATGAATGGTGGTCTTATACTTTTGCACAGTAGTGTACCTTCATACTTCACATTTGTTTTAGCCCCTAAACTCTGAGGATCCATTCCTGCTTTGAGACTCATTCCTCACTCAAATAACTACATAACTTATATATTAGTTCCATAGATGTTACAGAATAATTAATAACACTAACTGAATAATAAACCTGAATATGGATAGCTGAACGACAAACCTGCAATTTTGAAGGCCAAAGAACACCAACTCAGCATTCTCTCACAGCAGTCTGTTCTCTCACATTCTCACTATTCTTGAACGTTCCCCCACTCATACTGTTCTACAATGTCCTTCCCGATTCACACTGTTCTGCAGTTTCCTCCTCATTCACACTGTTTTAGAATATTCTTCCTATTTACACTGTCCTAGTTATTCCCCTGGTCCACAATGCCTTACAATGTTCCATATAAAAACTGGTCTAGTTATTCCCCCTGGTTCTACAATGCTCTCCCTATTGGCCTTGTTCTAGTTATTCCCCATGGATCACAGTGTTCTACAGTTTTCTTCTAATTAACACTGTTCACTGTTCTCCACAATTCCCACTATGAAAGAATATTCTCTCCACTCACATTGTTCTTGAATGTTCTCCTCCATTTATGCTATTGTAGAATACCCTTGCCCCCATTTACACTGCTCTAAAATGTTCTCCCCATTCACACTGTTCTAGAGTGTCCACCCCATTCACACTATTGTAGAATACCCTTGCACCCCATTCACACTGTTCTAGAATGTTCTTTTCCATTCACACTAATGTAGAATACCCTTGCACCCATTCACACTGTTCTAGAATGTTCTACTCCATTCACATTATTGTAGAATACCATTGCCCCCATTTACACTGTTCTGGATTATTCCCCCCCATTTACACTGTACTAGAATGTTGCTCCCATTCACACTGTTCTAGAGTGTCCTCCTCCATTCACTCTGTTGTAGAGTTGCCCCCCATGTATACTGTGCTAGAAGGTTCTTTTCCATTCACACTACAGTAGAATAATATTGACCCCAATCACACTGTTCTAGAATGTTCTCCTCCATTCACACTATTGTAGAATACCATTGCCCCCATTAACGCTGTTCTGGATTGCCCCCCCCATTCATACCGTATAAGAATGTTCTCCCCAGTTCTCTCTGTTCTAGGGTATTCCAAATATTCTTCACTCTCCTAGGAGGTTCCTTTCATCTGCACTCTCATAGAATGTTTTCCCCATTCACACTTTCTCCACAATGTTCTCTTTCCCCTCATTCCCACATTCTGGAACAGCGACTGCCAACATTAGAAGCTTGGGGAAGGTGTGCCAAGGCCTTAAGGGGGCATCTAATTTAAAACTGTTTTCATCTATTTTCACTCATTAAAGAATAACTGATAAATTATTAATATTTTCAGTGTTATTAATAAAAGTCTGTTTTAATTGCATGCTGCTAATATCTAGGATGCCCCTTCGTAGAAGTGTGAATGCCCGTATATTTCTTTCTACTCTGATGCTTATCATTGGGCCTTGCTTACTTGTTGCTGTAGCTGGAACGAGACTCGTGGAAAAACTGTTTAATTTGCTGCTGTTGGTAGGCTGGAAGATTGCCGGCCCCCCTGCAGAGAGAGGGGACGAAAGGGCAGCCACTCAGTCCCTGCTGTGCCATAAATACTCATGGTCATTACTCTCAAGCACAGTGCTGTATTTCTTTGAACTGTACATTTGTCATAATTATCCACCTTTAATTCTGTACAGGGAACAGATACAGCCCACTGAGGCTGCCTCTCTATATTTCTGCCATCCTTATCTCCACCTCTTGTCTCCTCTCGCTTCACCATGACGTTCATCATCTCTCTGGCCCCACTGCTTTTACCTTTTGTGTGAGCGTTCTGATGGAGAAGCCTCTGAGGGACAATAAAGCTCCTGACTGCTTTCAAACCAGATTAGACGGCCAGGGCCCGTGGACGACACCTCGCCCAGCGCATTGGACGAGGCTTCCAATTTCTACCTTTGCAGGGGGAGTCTGGCAATGAGAAGCTGTGACTCGCTAGACAAAGCAATATTACCCCTGATACACAATTAAACAGAGGAAATGTGTGATATTACAGGAACGGTGTGAAAACTTCCCTCCAAGTGAAGTGTGGGTGTTCTTTATTCTATAGAAACAATATCAACACCAACCTGAGCTCGCCGAACAGACCAGCATCCTACATACAAGGATCAGTGAAAAACAGACTTGGTGGTGGCCAACTGCTGTTTTGAACAGTGTCTAAGACAGAGACCCCCCTCTACTCCGAAGTTAAATGGGGTATGACTATTTGCTGCGGCCTTTAATGGAATCCGTTCCTCGGTTGCACTCAATTTACCACGTCACAAACTGAAAAAAAGCGAAAAAAAGGCAGAGAAGACAACCGGGCAGTCAGACTGATTATGTGATTGAATGATAAAACCAAATCTTCTCATGTTATAAAACCTTGGCATGTGTCCAGTGAGCCGCATAATCATAATATGCATTCTGAACATTCGCCCCACTATTAGAGAACCTCGGCATCTTCCCTCGCCGAGCCTCCAGACATCGGTAGTCTCGCAGGCCCTGTGGTGTTGGCGCCATTAAAATGCAACGAGAACTTTTTTTTTCTGAAGATAATGAATAATACAAGGCATACCCCAAGGCACAAACAAGAAGCTAGTGATGTCACAATTTGGGTTTAATGTGACAGCCGAAGACACTGTCATTATTTCTCGTCGGGGATGAGTGTATGAGAACCCGTTGTGGTTTCAGATTTATTGACGTTATGAATGCAACTGTTTTGACAGGGCTTAGGAGAATGCCTGATGAGTTATTGTCATTTTTCGCAAAGCTGACTCCACATTTTCCATAGACGTCGGCCGACAAGCACAAGCATACACAGGCTTGTTTCTGTATAATGACCGCATGTGGGGTCATATATGTGTGTTATATGGAGACCATTCTACTGAATTATTTCAAACACACATATTTTCTGAACCGCTTATCCTTCTGGGTCACGGTGGGAAGAGTTGGAGTCTATCCCAGCGGTTATTGGGCAGAAGGCATGAAACACCCTGGACAGGTTGCCAGTCCATCACAGGGCAGACATACACATTCACACACTCATACCTAGGGACAATGCAACAACAGGAACATGCAAACTCCACACAGAAAGGACCCAGGTCGCCCGGCTGGGGAATCGAACCCAGGCCCTTCTTGCTGTGAGGTGACAGCGCCACCCACTGCGTTATTTTAAACAGGTCTCCTATTTCCTCTTTAATAAAACAATTAAGTATTCAGACCTTAGATATTTAAAAGGACTGTTATGATATTTTTAAACTCAAGGCATCACTTGAGAGAGTAATAAGCTAAATATATACACACTCGTCATTTATAGGGTGCTTTCTATTAGGAGCTGGCTGTCCAAAAAACACACCCCTAAATTTGAACTGTTTTGTTTTATTTGTATTTTTTTTCAATGTTACCTTTTAAAGGGAAATTGAAAGATTTAGATTTATGATGAGTGGATTTTAAAAAAAAATAAATCCCAGTCTTATTACACACTGGCTTACAAGGCTAATTATTGAGTAACTACAGGTACTTTAATGCAAACTTTTCAAGCTATTGTTGATGCAAGCTATTCTTAGGTTATAGAAGTGTGTAATAAAACTCATTTAAGGGGTTAATTAAAAAAATGCTGTCTCATGTTTTCATGTCGCTACTAAAACACAGAGATTTTTAGTCCATAGGCGTCCAGAGGGCCTTATTTTAGCCACACCCTGCATTTTAGAGCAGGAAGTGAGCCAAAATGGCCATTAAGTACACAATATCAATTTTTCAGGAGATATTTTTGAGGGGATGAGATATAAGATAAGGCATTTCCATAACTGGAGTTCAAAAAATGATTAAAAACTCACAGAGAAAGTGGGACTCCTAACAACCATGCAAGACCTGGTAGACCACCAACACTGCCCCCATCAGATAAACAGCACTTAAAGCTTTCATCTTTGAGAGAGAGGAGAAAATCAAGCTGCTTCAGATCTGAAAACATCCACAGGTGTTTCTGTCCGTCCTTCCACTGTGAGAAGACGACTCAGCGCTATGGGCCTGAAAGGATGTGTAGCTGTCAAGAAGAACCTCACTGAGAAAAGGAAATAGATAAAAAGAACTGAATGACCACCCCAGAGTCCAGACCTAAACATCATTGAATGTGTTTGGGACTACTTGTACTTAATGGTCTTTTTGACTGGAAATAAATGATGGATAGCTGCTTTTTTCACAGTACTATATGTAATAATAAGTAGCACACGTATCAAATATATTGACAATGTTGGAACAAAACCTCATGTCTACAAACCAGCAACTTTACAGTAGAAAAGACTAAAAAAAGTTATAATAAAGTAAAAAGTAATAACTGGTGTTTTCAAATTATGCAATGATAGGTAAGCATCTATATTTATTCTACATCCAACTCTACACCCTAATCTTAACCTCAGTAGTTAAGAATGCTTTGCTCTCTTGGGTTAAAAAATAAAAGATTTAGCTTTTGTAAAAACAAATTTGAAATTGCAGGTTACCTCTGATTGCCTCTCTCTCTCTTACACACACAAACACACACACACACACACACACACACACACACACACACACACATTCACCTACAGAAGAACACAGCTGTTCTGTTTTGCAAAACGCACTGGAGGACGCAAAAAGGGAGCATAAATGAAGAATTGGAGTGGCGTAGCTCTGGTGTATTCCCAACCTCCTTTATGGCTTATTACCCCAGCGCTTACGTGTCAGTGTGCTTCTGGAGCACTCGACACAATTACTGGCATCAATCTTTTATGCCGCCTCGCTATAAGGCTGTGAAAAGATGCAGTGCTTATTCCCCCGGTGTGGAGACGGAAAAAAAATCTCTCAGACGCATTCATGTCACTGCGGAGCGCCACACATCGGCGCCAACACAAAGAGGGCTGGGATCAATGCCACTCTGAATGAGCCCACAGCTTCACTTTACTGCTGCGTCAGAGCAGAAAAGCTGGAACCATCAGAAGCAGCACTCTCACTCCTTCTCACTCTCGCTCCGTCAGCTGACCAGTCCATGCTCTGCGTTCCTTCTTAGCAACTGTTGTGAGGTAGGACAAGCTTTCTGGAATGCTGGTCACATTAAAGCTAAAGGAGATTAGATTTTAAACATAACATTGAGTTACCAGATTAAAATGCTGCATTACTTAGCTGAACTGTGTTATTAGTTAATTGAAGGTTGGCAGCAGGGATGGATTATTGACTGGGCCAATGGAGCCAGTGCACAGAGGCCTCTGACCGCCTGTTCCCAGGCCCCTCAAGCTATATTTTAGCATCTGGACTTTGTGTTTGCCATTCAAATGGGATAATTTAGTGGGTATTTGATACCTATTTACCCTTCAATGCACACAGAACTACTTCTGCTTTTGCATTATGATTCAGTCTGGCTTAAAAAAGACAGAGAAGAATGAATCAAGTTTGTCTTTCAACAAACAGATCTTATAGCACAATATGTTACAGTGTAGATACCACAGGATGCGCCACCTTAAGAAGGCTGATTTGGTTTATTATTAAAACAAAAAATAAACAAATATATGTTGCTCAAAATGCACACAAACATTAATGTGAACTATTGTTTGATCTCACTAGTTTGTTTGTTTATTTATTATGTGTTACTGTTAGAGCTTGGGGGTCCTCCAAAGATGCTTGTCCCCAGGGGCCTTGCAAGACCATAATTTGCTATGCAAACTAATCTTAATCTTAAAAATGTGACCTTTCAAAAATAACTATGCAATAATCTGTCATCTGAAATTCTTAATGCTCACAAAATTTGACATATTTTGCCAAAAATTGAGTTGTGTGCTACAGTTTCCCATTAGATTGAATGGGATTTTTTGACAGTGTTGTCCAACCTCAGAACAGTTGCTACAAAAGAACACCTTTGTGGGCGGAGCATGTATAGGTCAAATGACTGTTTTGTCAATCTGACATGTTTAGTTAATGTCCCTGGTCATATTAAGCGTGTTTCATCATACTAAACCATTTAAAAGGCAAAATTCCTGTTTTACGGTAAAATTCCATTAAAATGACTTTTGCCTGTCTCAAACCTTTTGTGACTTTTGGCAAAATGAACCAATGTTTTTATGTTTCACCTATCCTTCCCACCGCCTCCCTCCTATCACCAACAAGGCACAGACCCTCCCTGATGACGTACTTCATTCAGAAATATGTCACAATACAGAAGGCAAATGTTTGATGATTCAATTTTAAATGAAGTTAGAAGGTACCTGTGGCATGACAACCAGCAGTACAAGTGGGGCAATCGCACTGAAGCCTGTAGCTCAGGGGGCTTTTGGAAACAAGGCCCCCTAACATATTTATTGGACCCTTATATTACTACTTGAGCAATTTATAACATGATTCATGGGGAGCTATGATAAGTTACTAATATACTTCAACCATTAGCTTCCATCTGAGGACCAACTTGGTTGAGATGTAGATTACTGATGCAATAGATGCAATAACAAGTAAACAAGCAGATTACATTTTCATTTTTTTATTCATTGAGGGTCATTTTCATTTCTATGGGCAGCCGATTTATATGTTTTTTGCAGGTCCGTAAGATTCTAGGGTACATTTTACTTAAACCCTGCTATGTTCGGTTCAGTAATATAGCAGAGTCATATTACCATTACTGTTCATAGTCATGACCGATGGCATAAGGATTGATTACTGGATGCAATCTGTCTTAACAGCATGTGACATCTGCCATGACATGTTTATGGCATGCTAATGTCGAGGTTA